ACTCCAAGGCTCCATCTATGCCTCTGTAAAAGCTCTCTATGCCTCCGGCGTGAACCTTCGCCTCTAAAGTGCGAATGAACTGATCGCAGGATTGTTCCCGCCGGATTCTGTCTCTCAGCATGGGCTGAACTCGCATCGAGCTAACACTCCCCGAAATCTCCTTAGGAAGTGAGTCGACGACCTCAATCTGCATCCGGGCAAACTCTCGGATAAGCTGGCGCTGATCGGTGATAGAGCAGACTGACTCACCCCTCACCTTTCGGCTTAGGGCGTCTGCTACCACGTTCGCCTTCCCCGGATGGTACTGTATGGTGCAGTCATAATCTTTCACAAGCTCCAACCATCGCCTCTGGCGCATGTTGAGCTCCTTTTGTGTGAAGATATACTGCAAACTTTTGTAATCGGTAAAGATCTCACACCGACCACCATACAGATAATGGCGCCAAATCTTGAGTGCATGCACAATCGCTGCCAATTCTAGGTCATGCGTAGGGTAATTCTGCTCATGTGGCTTCAACTGACGTGAAGCGTACGCAACAACTTGGCCATCTTGCATCAGCACACACCCAAGACCCTGCTTCGAGGCATCACTATATATGGTGAAACCTCGAGTAGGATCCGGAATAGTCAGCACTGGAGCCGTCGTAAGCCTCTTCTTGAGCTCCTGAAAGCTCTCTTCACAACGACTCGTCCACTCAAACTTCACAGATTTCCTCGTCAACTTGGACAAGGGAAGGGCAATCTTAGAAAATCCCTCGATAAATCTGCGATAGTACCCTGCTAGACCGAGAAAACTGCGAACCTCAGTGGGACTTTTGGGCGCTGACCAGTTCCGCTAACTTACTAGTATCAGAGTAAAATTTTTGCAACTTATTTCGAAAATACATATAAATTTTTCGAAATCATTTAACTTAACTCGGGATGCTACTAAACTTATCTATTCTGAAAATCTGTTTTTCTTTAACTTGGTCTAAATACTAGTTTAGACATAAAGAAAACAGATGTATAATCTAATCAAACTAGCATGTAACTCAACCAGACCTGTCTAGAGATCCGATAAAATCTGAAAACTAGCATGCAAGTTTGATTCTGAAAATAACGTCAGCGGAAATTTAAAACGTGGCAAAAATATATACAAACTGAGTATATACAAAAGTCCACAAAACGGCTGCTGAGCCATATCCACGACCACCACCACAACATCTCAACTCACGCCTGCGGCCCGACCCGAACATCTGAAAAAAAAAAAAAAAA